CTACGTGTATGATTTCATGTAAATTATATAAATATCACTAATGTTTTTACACGTTGAACTGCTACACCGACCATGAATGAGATACCTGTCACAAAATATATACGACAACGATCTCCTTTGGTTTAGTCATGATGAGGAAAGTTCAGCGAAAAGTGACGCAATAAAGCAGTTGATACAATCAGGGCATAGATTGTAAGTGAACATGCTCACGGCAATATCAACGTGAAGACGTTCAAATCACATATGTGCAAGAAAATGACAAGAGCATCATGTGCTTCGTTCAATAAAACTAGAAATTTCCGAATTTGAATGCATACACCAGTCATGTTCCGGGAACCTCAAAATGGGATTGGCGATTGGGTTATCACATTCTATCCATCGAACCTGGACCACGACAGCTCTCGTCCATTTAAAATGAACTGTTTTCTCCAAAATACTGAAGTTCCATTGAGTGGGTTACCGACCAAGATAAGAAAATTCAGAGAAGGTGAGCTCTGATTGTTCGTCCCCTGGGAATGTGTTCCCCTATGCTGGTGATGAGTGACGCTTAAAAGAGCTTAAAAGAGCTAACCCTAAGGCAAACGATCTACGTGGAAAGACCGGAATAAGTAGGGTTGTACTCCACCGGCTAACAACGAATTCTAAGAGACTAGATTTTGATGTATCTAATACTGATCGCTGATGTCGTTTACTGTTCACTTTATACCCCAAATTCAGTTTATTGCTCCGAAACTGTCGAATAAAATGCCGGCCTCATTCAACTTTGTAGTATTTGGAATTCCGTGCAAGCTTTCGCTGTTTTTAAGCTCATATTTGATTCTTTTGGACACAATCTGGATGAATATTTACTCTGTTACAAATTTCAAATTCCTTAGAAGTGCATAAAAGAAAGAACATTTGTGTTTTTTATTATTTCTCTTTGATCGTAAAGCCACCCAGTTTTTGGAATAAGGACAACAATCGCTTATTAGTACATAGTCCCTTCAACTTGGGTCTCAGTCAGTCGTGAAACGAAGGAAGATGGGTCAAGATGAATCAAAACTCCGGTGACCACATTCCAGCGTGAATCCGGAACCGTGGTTCCGTCCTCAACCCTTAATATTCTGGAGATTCAGATCCCATCGAGGCTGAATTGACCCCTTTTTGCAGCTCCTACTCGACCGAATACAATTTCATAATCTTTTGACATTGAAAAGCACATTTGTTAAAACAGCAGAAAAATTACCGTTGCATGGCTTTATCATTTTTATTTACCGTGTTCAGCAACAGCCACTTGTTTGTCTTCGCTGCGCAGAACTGCAATCCGTTATAGATCACTAGCACTTATGGAACCCCTTCTCGACTGAAACATTTTTACCAACCGTGAATTACAAGCGGTGTAGCCAGAGTGTTGATTAGAAGCATCTATGAGCATATTGAGGATAAACCGATTGGCAAAAGTGGAAGCCAATGACCGATGAACGACACACAGAAGCCGATATTTACACGTTACCAGGGGATGCACCCCCCTAACAATTACCTGAAGTCCTAGCGACTGTCTTATTTTATCTATATGTTTACTTAAAAGCGTGGGCAGATTTTATTCACAGTCGGTAAAAATATCTGTAGAAATGATTTTCACATGTTTGAAAATGTTAGATAGTGACTGTATTAGTAGGCTGAGAGCGAGTTAAACCACTGGGTAAATACAACAATTACCTTTTTACAAGTAATCAAGGGAATAATACCAGGAATTATAAAATAAGTGGAGTGAAATGCAAGTATATACAAACTGATTAATCAGACTGAGAAGCACCAAACGGTGTTATTGAATGCAGCAACGTTCATTTTTTAAAGCCGTAAAACACACTGTTCAAAAGTTACGGAACGGATGTCTCGCAGGTTAGAGGTTCGTCATTTACACTAAGTATTTTAATGCGACTGTGCCATGTATTTTTCTGGTACAGTTCTACATGCACAAAAGCTTCGTCTAAACTTGGGCCATTTGAAATTTACAAATCAAAGAAAACTCTGTGTGAGATTTTCCCGTGCAATTTTAACGAACGTAAATTACCAGATCAGGGTGATACCATCGGTGTTCTTTCGGTTTAGGCAACCGGAAGCTACAATTGATTTAAATGAATCCTAGGATAGTAAACAAGCCGACAGCATCACGTTTCATGGAATACCAATCGCAATGTGAAGGTCAATGCCAACGTTTGTCACTTTTGCGTTACCGCATACACCAATAATGCTCCTAACTACATCCTACTTTCTGTAATCGATATCGGAAACTGAGAGCATACTTCAATGTGTTGCACGCTTTATTCTATCTGGAAACGGAAGGAATATCATCTTTCTTATGTTTTCGCCGATTTAAGTTTAGCTTTAATCTGACTTGAAAATAATGTCTGCAGCTTTGCTCAGCCGTGAACTTCCTTCGAGGTTCATATACTTCAACACTGATCGATCAACGAAGGCTAGTAACTCTCTGGATGCCAGATTTTTCTAGGTGTTTTCCGGTTTCCAATTGAATATATTGTTTCACTCCTTATGAAATCCCACCAGCCATCCGGATCCCTTCATACTGACTAATAATTGCGCCATTCTTCTCGATTTGCTCCGAATCTAAGCAATAGGGACTTGGTCAGTGCAGTGTTTCATTCACTGCTGTCTTTTACTCGTTGAATTGCGCTTTATTGTATTGAAGCTTTAGCGAACATTATATAAGGTTTCGGCCAAAAATAGAACACCGTTAGCATTCTGTTAAAAAAGAGGTGGAAAAGTAGGCCGTAAAACGTTTAAAAATTATGAGTTAATTACAAAATGTATTAAAAAGCTGAGAACGAACACTTTCCCTATCGTTCACTGTCCGGGTAACATAGGGTACCAAAGAGTTTCTTTATGCAGATATGCGGGACGGGATAAATTCGTACTTAGAACATGTGGAAGGGTGGGATTTGCATGCACACAAGTCAATGTGTAGGGGATGGCAGCAATCAGATAGGATATTGTCAGCAAACGGCGAGCACGCATTAAACTAGAAAATACACATATTGTCAATCAGAACGGAAAACAGAAATTTGGGGAAACAGCTGATTATTGAGAAGCCATGAATCAGCAACTTGAAATCAGCCTTCAGCAAACCAGGGAGAATCACAGGGAAGCAGTAAAGTCGTCATGGGAGAACACATTGTTGAACAAAAGTTCCAATCACCGACAAGTCAGAACAGAAGTGGAGAAGTCTTCTTATCAAAAAGAGAGAAATTTTAACTCGCGCACAACATTTTGGGTATGTAGGGACCAGCGGAAGTTATTTTTACATGGCTGACCCTGCTCATCGGCTTTCCATGAATCTAAACATTGTCGGAGGGAGATGAGATATGGTTAAGAGTGAAAATACATTCAAGGCAATTTTCAAGATTAAGATTAAAACCGGACGAAGTGAAGTATGAAACGATGTGGAATAAGTGAGTGCTATATTCAACCAGTTCTGATTGGTTAGATACGGAAACTGAAATGGCGATATCATCAGCATACTGAAAATGTCGAACAGGGGGAGTAACAGGTAAGTCACTGATATAAGTCGATAAAAGATAGGGTCATAAGACATCACCCTGAAGTACACCCATACCATTGAGTGATGCGGTTGACTGTCTTCTTCCCAATTTAATATACTGATATCTTTGCAAAAATACCAATAAAGAGAATGAAAATCAATTTCTTCTGTCCACAGGGTTAATTAATTCCACGGCACGTTCTTTTCCACGGCAAAGACGTTTAGGAAAAGGTGTTGATATTCTGCCATGTTGAAGAAAGAAAGTTATCACAAGACAGCATATTTCAAAAACGCGGTTTATCACTTCTGTTATAAATGTCATATTGAAAAAGCAGGTTGTATTTAAAGGAAAACAGTCGGTAACTACCATGAGAGACTCTCTAAGAAGACAATGCTGTCTGGGGAAGGATCTCGCTGATGTAACCACATCATGGGTCGAGTAGGAGAAAGATGTCCTGAAAATGAGTGAATCCTAAGTCTGAACAGGATCAGGTTTTGGTCACTGGTGTGTAAAGGGGAGAACTGTTTGATGGAAAATATGTCAGCGGGGTTTGTGTTTATGTGATTTAGATGACAGCTTCTTCCGGTTGATTCAATTATCAGTTCACTGAGGTCTAGGCAAAATAATGGATTTGAATGTGTAAACGGTATCATTAAACTGTTGAAAAAGTTGCTTAACCATTAACTGTGTGAATTCTATTCGCGTGTACTTTACTAGAAATTGCTGCCACACATTTGTACTGCAATCATATACTTTGTGAAACAAACGATCACAGAGGCACGTAAGTGTTGATGTATTTAACTGGGTTTGAGACCGTGAGACCTTTATATTTGAAATGAAGTTATTAGTTCATTGCCTGAAGATTCAATTATAAATGTTGGTTCCTTGTATGCCAACTGAATTAATATCCATGGATAGTCTTGGAATAATTGCCATTAACTCAAATCGGTTACTCATTTCCTAGTTATCAGAAGACACTTCATATTGGATAGTCAACGCACAGGTAGGTCACTTTTATTCTCTTTGTTAGGCAATTGTCATGACGTTCGTATTCCTTTCTAAATTATGAAAATAGTGAGTAAACCTATTATATCACTGACGGTTTAACCAGTTCTTCGCAAAAAGTTAAACTGCTTGAAATTATTTAAATTGTTGTTTGGCAGGTTTCAAGTTTGTACGTCAATTGTGATAAGTTCAGTAGCCTCGATGGGATTCGAACCCATGCATGTACAGCGCACACCTTACCAGCATTATTATTCCAACTGTTTTCTCATGTGATTCAGTTGTGCAGTAAAGAAACTGACCAATATTTGTCCGATGCGTTTGATTTTTAGCCATCTTGACCTCTGTTTAGACTGGTTTCATGGGTCGATGTACGTGCATGAAGCGTTCATTATATCGTCAACACGGTTGTAATAAACACGATACATTTGTCTCATGAAAGGTTTTTTTCTGTCTTTTATGTCAAAGTGAGTTGTGGAAAAAATCTAGTGCATTCGGATAATATGTTTGGTAATATAACATTCCTTTAGCTATCCGTGGACGCTTGGGTTGGAACAAATCGTATTGCGGTCCCGATAATCTGCTCCGTCCACTTCGGATAGTGATTGTCTTATCAACTGATTGAACATGGAGGCTGTAAATATGACAGTCTCACATGGTATCCTACCGAGACAGTTTGATAGTGATGAGCAATTCCTTTAGTTGTCAAAGCGCCGCAGGTGTTCAAGCGACCCGTTTCATTCACCGTGTGTTTCAAACGGGGCGCAAGTTGTCAGTTAGTATGGCCCTCGAGTTTGGGTTTGAAGGACACGGGGGTGTAGTATGTATCATTCCATGGGGTTCTATACGCATCGATTAGCAAACGTACAACCCAGAAACGGTTACTTACTTCGGTAGGCGGGAGAGCAAAATCGATATTATTGGGAAAAGGAAACTCATAAATACCCTATCCAAAATCTGTACTCCGCTGAACGCGGAAAAGGTTATCGGTGCTGAGTAAGTGGACTTCGATACATTTATGCTAAGCAAATGCATCGATACTTCTCCCTCTCTCCCAAAGTTATTCTAAATGTGATGTCTCAGAGATAAGCAAATAAATAACACTATTTGTGCCCATTTGAACAAGCCAATATTTTAGTGATATAGTAATTCGACATATAATTCTATCTTTTCAACAGGTTCTGTTCTTCACAAAATGACCAAACCGTGAGTTCTACACCTCCCGATTTATTCAGTTCAAGTGATGCCACATTCACCGTGAGGGTGTAAGACCATTATGTGTTGCCTGTCCACATTTCCGTTTGAATAGTCCAAAGCTGAGAAATTAAGCACCATCCATTACTGCAGTGTATGAAAAACCCAAAAATCGAAACCCAACTCCTCTCTATACCCAAGCTACTTTTTCGTGTCAGTAAACCTTAAACCAAATGTATTTTGTTCATATGTTTATGGTATACATCTAAGTATTCATTTAATTCGAAACTCAATGCGCATTCCCAAATGTAACCGACAATACCAACCAAAGGAATTACATTCATCGTTCTTCGCGTTCTATTCGATTTTAAAAAAGTTGTTAATTTTCACTAAATCTGGAACTGCAACATTTTTATTTCATAATTGTTTGACATGTGACCGAGACAGATCCATTAAATATGAATGAGCAATATCGGATAAATTATGTTCACTCGTCAACCCCGATCATTATTTAACTGCGCAAAGTTTAGTGAACTGAGTTTGTAATGGAACGGCAAACTACAGGTTCATGATTTATAGCAATTTAAAAAGAGAGATGGAGAGCTCCTTAACTTTTAACAAAAGGAATTTTATGCATTATTTTCATTCAAGCGAGCGAGAGAGCGAGAGAAAGATTTCCTTAGCGGTGGCATGCGCGGACACGTGGACAAAATCTGACTGATCATTCCGTAATTCCTCTCGCCTTTCAGCGAATTTGAAGAAGCCATCGCTTTCTTCATGGAACATTTGGACACTGATAAGAACGGAAAACTATCGAAAGCTGAGATTTTGACTATTCATGAATCCGACGCGTTCAAAAAGAACATCGATGATCTGTTCAAAAAATACGATCGCGATCAAGATGGCGAGTTGAATCGAGAAGAACTGATCATGTGGCTCGAGACCGAATTTCCTGAAGGCGAACCTAGATACGGACTCGAATAGTATCAAAGCTAATCAATTGGCTTTGTCTATAATGTGGTTTGTCCAATATTTCAGTAAATACATCATTCATCAATAAACTTGCAAGCCAAATCGTAATTGTCTGCTCTCTGAAAACGGAGGTTACTGAGATAATTCATCATTTTCCGTGGTAACTGAACATTTATGAGGTGCGTATTGGTGGTTGAAGGCTGACTGAGATTAAACCATGAGTTCATAAGTCGATTGTATAAGCGTGACTCGTATCCACAAACGATGTTCAGATTAGGCCAAATTTAAAACATGTTCTGGGTGTTCTGGATGTTGGTAAACAGTTTAGCTAGTTTATGTCCTGTGCATTTGCTACTCCCCTTATATTTTTTTCCAATTACGGTAGTAAAATCTGCCCAATACTGGCAGCTTTGTGGAATAGTCAAATCATGTACTATTAGAACTGGCGAGTAAAAGAAAAAAATGATTTTTCGACAGAAATTGAGAAGCGGAGGTGATCGAATTTCGCATTAGAAAATTACATCACATTTTCTTTCATTTGAACATACACCAGGCCAACGGAGTCTGGTTCTCGATCGCCAATTCGGAAAATGCCTAAGCTTCATGAATCCCTGGTTCTTTAAACTGAATGTGAACTCTTAATTTTTGTTTTCTGAAAATCCATGATAATATTGGGATTTAATTTTAATTATTGTTCTTATTTGGTATACGCAATAAGACGTTTTGAAGTAGTTGATAAACCAGAGGTTCAAATATATTCTGTCTGCAGATAAAAGGTGATACCCAGAAGCCGAACAAAACCATTTGAAATCACAAGACTGACCTTAACTTGGATTACTGGTGTGGGATAATGTTTGTGGATTTCGGCTAACCGCCAATAGATGGTTTAAATTCATACAGAGTTCGCAGTTTATCCCATTGATCACACACTCAGAGAACTGTGGACATCTGTTTCGCTCATTTTAGAACTAATTGATGGTGCTTTTTCACCCGCTCGTGGATGAAAAGTGATAAACGAAGCGTTCCAATTAGATAAATTTTGGGCATGAGTAGCCATGTTAAGTTAAGAGGCTTGCAACTGGAGTTAGTAGGTTACACACTGCGGCCTTTTAAAGCTGTCGAGCTAAATGGCTGACTGACTGACTGACTGACCAGCTACTAGTGAAAATCTTGTTTGCATAGGATTGATTTGTTAATTTTGGTCAAATCACTGCGCTTTGGTTGGCGCATGTTTAAAGCAGGATCTATGCACTAAGGCTACGGAATTCAACTTCTAAAAGGGCAGGTATGTATGCATTAACAGGGAATGGTTGATTTTCATATGTGCCGTTAGGTAAATGAACTGAGAATTTCACATTATATTGAAATCTGATTGGTAACCAATACAATATTATTTATAAATAATTTGGACGGAAGAAGGTGGAAACGGTTATCCTGAAAAGAAAGGCGAGTACTAAAAGCATGACAGCGTAACAGTACAAGTACAAATCGATTTTTGTAGCATGTAAAGCAAATGAATCGTGTGCGTGACAGATGGAAAATACTATTACGATATGTTTGGGACTCATCGGTAACTGTCCATTGTCCACACTATGGATCGAACCCACGACCTCGGTGGTAAAACGTAGTGATAATACGCACTTGGTCAACTGATGAAACCCAATCAAGTTGAAACAACTATGCCATAATTCCCATTTCAGGTTTCATTTGCTTGTGGCACGAAAACATTCAGTCTATGATCAAATCAAATTCACTACTACTCTCGTGTGGCACATGAATAGGTGTGCGTTTAGGAAAGATAAAAAAATTTCAATGAAAAAAAGAATTATGGAGGTAAGATAACGATCTTTGGATTCAAAAAGACAAAGGTGATGGCTACGCGACGATGATGATTGAAACCATTTGAAGATGGTAACCATGACTATTTGTTTATAACACTCTACTGAAATCTACTAGTGTATTTCGTTATTCGGCATCTGTGAATTCTGGTCGTGCTTTCCCATTGAGGCAGCAATCGTTTTAAGGATCCCAGTAAAGAGCTTCATTGTTTGTCTCCGTTTCAATGTTTGGGTAAACAGAATATTTCTTAAGATCAGACACTGCCCACGATTTGGAATGTTTTCACCCTCATGTAATATTACACACAGAGTTCACTTGACGAGTTTCGCCTATGATCAAAAAAAGCGCTTTGACAGAAGAATGTTCTATAGAACAACTGGTGAAGAACACAGCTATGGGACAGGCCGCACTGAGTAGAAAGAAGCTTTTCATTTTAAAATTCTCTGATCACTTTACATTTTGTAATTATTGGTTAATGTAATTGAAAATAGTCATGTTATGTGTGGTTGCATTTATCTTCTACCATCGTCGCGTCCTTCGGAAAAATGAACGAATATACGTCACCAGACTGAAAGATGATGCTAAACATTCTATTATGCATAATGTCCATCCGCTTTGCTGACCGAAATTTAGCTCTTTTTTAAACAATCAGCTTTGCCTAAACACGGCTTACCCTGAAAACCGTTGTGGTACGCATAAGAGTCACTGTCCAAATTAGGTTGACTTGGACAGATCATCCAAAGCGGATTCAGATTTCATTCACCCGTTCCATTCCGGACTACTTAAACCCTGCTGATTCCGTCGAAGTTCGGTTTTAAAACGTTCCGAATTCCCATAAATAACCGGAAGCGCTTGTTGAACCTGTTTTGGAGTTACAAAACGGTTCGGAGTTGCTGAATCGGTGCCAAGATATAATCCTTTCCCCAAAACGTTTCCACAAGATATGCCCGTACTTCTGCAATGTTACTATTTAATTCAATGCCCGTTCTATCTCTGTGTACGCTGACCGCCAACAACATTCATATCAAACATTTGTTCGATATCTTGGGACTGTTGTCTTACATGTTCATGATTAATAGGATAATATATATTTATCCATGTGCATAAATATATAGTAGCACTAACACTACACTAACACTAACAGATGAGTCATTCTACGTTTTTAAAGAAAGCATCAAGCCTCATCGAAACTGAAAAAAATGTCCAACACTTATTTGCAACGTTTAAAACAAGTATGCGCCGTTTACAAAGCGATGTCAAAGGGGTAGACCAAAACAGTATAGACACTACCTCGCTCTTCTGAGTTTAGTCTTACCCTGTTGTTACTAATATCCGTTGGATGGTTGGAATTCGTTATATTCTTAATCCACATTTTGCTTTTTTGAGTGTAGTAAGATGTATAGGAAGCACAACGTTTAGCGAAAAAGCTGGTTTACGGTGAATAATCTACGGACTAATACATGACAATTTTTGTTATAAAGTTCTATTCGGGGGAGAAAACATGATAAAATGGGAAGAGAAATAATTAACATTCCAGTTCCATTAATCGATGCTGCTCACACTTGGATCATCACACATGCGCATTGGTTCGAGTCACTAGGGGCGGCTAGTAGGATGACTGTGTCGTGTGTGGTGTTGGCCGTGGAAGACCGAGTGCTCTTACGAATTGTTTTTGAGAGCATTTGTGGGGTGGGGACTATGCAGGCAGATTGCGATCGCGTCCCCTGTGGCCAGAACGTGACTCCTAAACGACTGCTGAGAACTAACTAGAGGGGTCAAAACGCCTTGGCCACATTAACCACGATGTTTGATTCCACTACCTGTGAAACGATCGAATGGTTGATAGTCCTAATCACTGCACTATTCAGCCAGGCCGCGTGGAGCTTAGGACTCGTTCAGATAAACGTCTGCTAATGCGGCCAATATACCCTGTCTCAGATGAACAGTACACACAGAAATAGACTACGGATGCAGGCAATTTGTCTTTTAGTTGAAAGCGTCAAGATGGCCTGGAGATGAATACAACGAGAAGTGTTGATTTGAGGAATGGTTTTTCCACTGCTGTAATCAGTTTTCGTGTCACAAGCTCGGCAGTTGTGTTGCCCTGAATAGATAGTGATATGTCAACCGGTTTCTTTTCAACGGTATTGATGTTATAACTAAGTATAGATAAGGAATAAATATTAAGAATATCACTGGAATTGAATTTTGTTTACCAATACGCTCGATAATCCATTGATTATACTCCCTAACGGACAAAGTGTACTTGAGAAATGTTCTTACGGAGAAAGTTTCACTCAATCTAAAATCAATAATCTGTTTCATTTCGCTATGCTGCTCATCTGATCAGATTTTGCTGAAAAAAGAAACTAATCTCTACCATCGGATACCTGAGGTCGGCAGGTCTCACAAATGTAGGCTGAACAGCGAGGGGGTACACATTTTGCTCAATCTGTCTGGCATCAAGAAGTATCTTGTGCGACAGAAACGACTAACAGAACCATGTGAGAGTTTCTGAAGAAGCAGTCAGACCGGTGAAATGTCTGTCGCGTTTGACTGCGCGACAGATGTCGTCAGTTTGCAGAGATTGACGAATGAGCAAGGAAACACACGTGCAGAGCAAAAAATGGACACGCGTAGAACAGATTGTGGAGCTCAATGCGAGAATGTTTGAATATAAATACACTGTCAGTTGACTCACACTGCGGCCAGTAAGCGAAGCGTGAATCGTGTCCGTCGCTCGCGCAAACCGTGAGTGGATTTTAAGTCCCGAAAAATGGAGGGATTCTGCTTTGTCATAATTTATTGTGTGATATCCTATTACTATGTTTATCATTTCTATGAAATAAACCTCATTGCGTTCCATCGGAATACCCCAGTTTATGGGTATTTTTACACACTGTTTTTGAAAACATCGTCATTACTATATGGATTAATGCCGCCACACTGTTGGAATTGAGTGAATTGCAGTTAAATAACTTATGAGTTTCCACAAGAAATAACCTAACATGTTTTTACTATCCACAATTGCAGACTAAAGAAACCATGTCGAACGCGTAAGTCTGTTGCACAAATTTTATTGTTCACTGTTGTAGATAGTGAAATTTTGAACAACGAATAAGGATGGGTTTCAGACTACAGGACACGTTGTCATAGTGCTTCGTGTTCCGAGA